CATACAGCAATGAATCTCAAACACATTCACGCAACACGCAGAAGAAATCAGGAAATCAAGTGCCAGGAGTTCTTGAGATAGATAAAATGGCTTCATGATGAGGTAACACCACTGAGACAACATGAGCCAGATCCTCATTCCTCTGCAAAAATCAAGAAATCAAACATTTATTTGCATAGCCCCAATTCATAACAAATGTTATCTCAAGACACTTTACAAAAGAGCAGGTAAAATACCTGGATATAATCCATTATGAACACTAAGCAACATTACTGTCATGATCCATATCCTGGCAGCTCCTCTCTTTCCTTTTATATGTTGTTTGTTATTCCCTGGCTGTATCAGAATTGCCAAGTACCTACTCAATCTGTCAGTAGCAGTAGACAGTAGACAGTACCTACTATCCGTGCTGCATACTGTTTAGTACCTACTATTCAGTAGGCGCGCACAGTAGGCAGATATTTGTTCCTATTTCGTCTGATTCATTCAGTAAGGAAGTGGCGTCATTTACGTTTCCCGAACCGGCTGCATTACCCGTTTATTTTTTTATTTTTTTACTTTATTCAAGAAGAGTAATGTGCACATACAGTCAGGTAAACAAAAAACAATATCACAATATAAATCAAGTAAAAGACAGATTAAATAACTAAATAACATACAGTAGGCTACATAAAGGAAAGTAGAAATGAAAGACAGTAAAATACAGAATATAAAATGAACTAATAAAGACGCATTTAAATACTGAAATCATTATTTAAATAGAGGGAAAAGGTTTTATAATAATGTATACATTTGTTACATTTTTTGTTGTTAACTAAAAGTAGCGATTTCAGTCGGGACTTTAAATGAAGATTAAATTAATCCACGCTCGTTTTTTTTTTGTTTTTTTTAAAGCTGCCGCAAAATCAGGCATTTTAGGCCGCAACAATCCCCCAAACAGTCTGCAATATCCTGGAGGGACTGTCTAGCGCTTTTGAAACACAATGTGAATTCACAAACTGGGACATCAATATTAAGCTGCCACCAGATGACGTAACGATGGCTGAGCTTAGTTACCGCCCTGTTGCAGAAATTAGTCTGAACAGGACTTTTGACAAAGCACATTTTCCCTCAAAGATTACTTTACAGCCCGTCTCACAGCTTTTTGTACATATTAGTCATTTAGACTTAGTAATAAGCCTTCACTTATTGTCCTCTCTTCCCTCCTTGTCGGTCTTCTTTAAGGTGTGTTTGTTTGGGAACTCTGAGGTGTCCTTGAGAGATTTCTTACGCTCAGGATCATCAGAGGAAGTGCTTCTGCACATCATCGGAGCAGCAGTGGGCAGGAAGAAGAAACAACGTGCAGGTAGACTTGTCTTCCGACACACCGGGGTCGGGGTAAACTTCCACATGAAATGTTACAATCTTCTGTTTGCGTCTCCAGGAATGTTCAATATCTCCAAGATGAAGAACCGGCCTATGATCCTCATGGGTGACATGGCTGTACGTACAAACCTCTCACACTCAGATTTTTCCATCACTGCCCAGTCAGGATTTTCTGTAAATACCACTGTATTTGCAGCCCTTTCACACTGAAATATAGACAATCAAATGTACATTGACAGATACAATCTTGATCGTATTCCTACATGTTTGAACCTGAGCTCGGGTCTAAATGACAAACAGGTACAAAAAGCTGTGAAATGAGATCGCTTCAACCAGCAGATGTGACACTGGCTGTAATTTTTGCAACAGTTTTTTGCATGAAAAACACTGATCAAATACTTCCATTCCAACTTTATTACCACAAAGTCATTTAGATCTAAATATATATAGAAGGATCAGGTGTTACCATATTAAAGTAGTATTACATCTTCATCTACATACACACTTCTTGTTTTTAGCATTGTCCTTGACAGATGCTCCTTTTTCCAACAGGTACCAGATTCCAACCGCCTATGTCACAAGACAGCCAGAGAGATTTCCCCATTGTTTCCAAAACAACCAGTCCTCTCTGCAGACACAGCTCCTCATATGTGCGCTTCAGGCAGCAGGAGAGTCCAAATGAGAGAAATGGATTTATTGTGCCTTCCACACTGCACTCGTTCAATACAAGGAGACTGTTTTTGCTCCTCTAGGACCCAAATGAGTGGGGAATTCATGCCTGGTCAGAAATGAACAAATGAAACACCTAATGTGACAGAAAACATCCAAAGTGAAACACTTCTTCCCTCCTCTGAGATTGCTGATATCTCAATTTCAGCAAGACTTCCCACTCTGCCACCCGCTCCCCTTGGACCACGTCTCCGTCACCTTTCACCTGGATGAGCTGCAGGATGCTGCGGTCATCACAGCAACGTGTTGCACTATGGGAAGGACAGGGGTCGAGATGGAGGCCTTGACAGCAGTTTCTGTTGTGGCATTGACCATCTATGACATTTGCAAGGCCGTGAGCCATGACATCGTCATCACAGATGTCAAACTGGTCAGTAAGTCAGGCGGGAAGAGGGACTTTCATCGTCACCCGCAGACCTTCCCCCTCAACAATAAATAATCATGAAGAAAACTGAGAATCAATGATTTGTAATCGGCACGAAGAATTGCACCTTTTTCACTTGATTTGATGTGTAGGTAGCGATCAGAAAGAAGAAAATATATAAAGTTATAGAAAAAATGAAGAGACCACTGCAAATAGTTCTTAAATCAGCATCTCCATGCATAGAAGGCATCCTTTTGTAGTGTCTGATAAAATTCAACGGAGGCACACCTCATTATACTAATTGAGGATTTGGTGATCACCTCACAAGCCATTCAATAAAGCTGAGCTGCTTGAATTTTTGCGTCAAGAGTGGTATAATGTCCCCCAACAGCAATGTGAAAGACTGTGTGGAGAGCATGCCATGACACATGAAAGCTCTGGTGGGACGCTGGTTAACTCGGTTGGTAGAGCAGGAGTCCCACATACTGAGGCCTTGATGCTTGTTTGACACCTGACCATGACCATTTGGTGCACGTCATTTCATTCTCTGTCTCTTCTCAGCTTTCCCTGTCCAATAAAGACAAAAAGGCTGAAAAATAATCTTAAAAAGGAAAAAACAAATCAGCAATGGGTTGCACCAGCTTGCATAAATCCAAGCATAGGTTAGTTTCCACTGGAGATTACATCCCTCAAAATGATGTGAAGCGTTTTAAAGCCTTGTGCTGTAGTTGATGATTTGACCACTAGATGTCACTTGTTTCTTTACACCTGCTGTACATTAAGAATGTAGTTTTTTAGTTATAACCTGATCATCCTGCCTTGTCATATTTTGCAGAACTTTGTTGCTCTTGTCCATTAACGTAAGTTACTCTCAGCTGTTTGTCTGTTTTAAAGACCACAAGGCTTGAGAGAAAACACACTGCATTGAGATAAAAGCTTTCCACTGACTGCTCACATGAAGTTAAAACTTAATCTCTGCAACAACATTTTGGTAGTTTAGATGTGACAATATACTCGTTACAATGAACCTTACATCCCTGTGGGCAGACAAACACTGACATGACTGAAGCTGCAAATCAACAAGTTTCTGAAATGACTATTTTTCTTACATGTTGAATTCTTTGTAAACCTCAATGAACTATGAAGAATATTAAATTAAGAATGAAGTCTAGGTACTTGACCTGTTAAAGCTGGCAGAAACAGATGAATGGGAACAGAGGAGTGTGTATGTGTCTCTAAATGACCTCTTCTCACCTGCTTCTGTTGCTGTAAAAAACTTCACGACATGCTGAGCATTTGACATTAGGGGTTGACTCGACTGTAGGAAATATAACAGTAACTACTTAAGCACTCCCCTCCAAATCTAGTATAAAGTGAAATGTTTAGACTGTGTAGGCTATACTTTACTTTAACCTCTTCAGTGCAAACTGGAAACATGACAGTGAGGTGACCGTTCTATACCATTACTCTTTACATAGTTGCAGATAAAGATTATTAGATTAGAGTATTAGGGCCACTGAAACATTTTTTGGGGGGTCCGTTTTTTTAAACATTTTTAAGTCTGACTGAAAAAAAAGTCAGAATTCTGAGATTAAAGTTCCAAACCCTAACATTTATTTTTCCGTGGCCCTACTCCTCTTCCGTACAAATAACACATAAACCTGTTCCCTGTCAAAGTTTTGTTTGTTAATTTGCTGTTTGTGCTCGGAGATATTAATAAAGTAATTTCATAATTATCATATGTGTCAAATCATTGATTTCTAAGGTAGTAGTTGCACTCAGAGGACTTTGGTGGGAACAAAAGCGCACCAAACCCCAAACGAATTCTGACATAATGTTGCACTGATACAGACTTGGCCGTCCCAATTTTAGATTTTTAATGCTGTTTATTATCATTCATTATTCATTGTTTGTGTTGATCGATCTGTTCACTGTTTTTTTTTATGTGAGATTTTGTGGGAGAAACCAGAGCACCTGGAGTAAACCCTAACACACACAGACATCCAATCTCATCAACACAAAGAGGACATTCATGTGCTGCTACCACTGATGCCTCATGGTGACTCGAAAAGGAAATAGAAGAGGGGAACAGAAAGGTTGAGTCAGAGAAGAAAAGGACAGGACAATGACGTCTGTTAACCATTTAGGTCTTTCTGGTCAGCAGCCTTTTGAACTCAAGTTTTGCTTAATGTACTTGGTCTGCACAGTGGCCAATCTCCTCAAGGATTCTCGAGACTCCTTAGAATGGTAGTTGTAATTCTCGGCAAGCTGGGGGCAGGACTGTCCTTTGAATGTGTCTTTGAGTTAGTAGATGGCAAACGGTTTACCAGCGGATTGATCCATTTGTTGGCTCTGTTAGATGGTGCGTCTTGTTCTGTTTTAAACACTTTGTGGTGCTCTGTATATCTTCAGTGTCATATATTGACCCTGACTCTTGGGTGTCAGAAATTGAAAGACAGTGGTTCTGCTTTATGTACCTCACCTAGCTCTTCAATGTGAGCAGTGCCAGAGTTATGCAAAGTTTTCTCTGTACCATTTGCTCGATGCTGAGACAACTCTGCACTAGCAGGAGAACACTCGGCTGAAGTTTCTCCAGCCCTGAAATTGTCTCTACAGGAAATGGATGTAGGACTTCTCAGCCTCCACCTGTCATCCCATTTGTTAAATATTTTAGCCTCTCGTCCAATGATAGAAAGGGGTCATATTCCTCCTGCAAATCATCTTTTCTCTTCTTCTTCTTGCTTCTCTATGCTGATGCGTGATCTGAACATGAGCTTTTACACTTTTTACCGGCTTGTTATTAGCAGTAGATCTTTGCATACACTTCTCTTCCCTTTCTAACACACTTTCCTTAAGGATCGATAAAGAAAGAAAACACCTGAGGTCCCAATATATGCATCTTATACAGTTCCAGAAAAATATGTCTTGCTAAAAATATCTACTATAAATATTTATCAACAATACAAGTTACATTGTAATAAACCTTCATGATTTTTCAATCGAAACCCCTCATCATGATGTCTTCATTCAGTTTCCGTTGTCCATTTCCATCCTCCATTTTCTTAAGTTTGGTTGTTTCAATTCCATTAATCTGGAAGGATCTCTGGACAATCAGCCACCTCACATTGGTCTCCCAAATTCATCCTGGGAAGAAAAATCAACAGCCAGTATCTTTGTACATACAAAAACATCAAAGATATTCATTCTGTTTGTATCATACTTTCACTTATTCCACTATATGATTAACATATACATGATTAATATACATGATTAACATATTCAATTCCCCCTTTTATCAATTCACTTCCAGTTCAAAATAATAGTGAGTCATGTTGAATTCAGATATTCAAAAATGGATATTTCTCTCCAATCTCTATGACCTCTCACCTTCACTTAGGTCATTACCACTCAGTAGCGGCATCTGAATGTTTTCTCCTGGCATCACAACTCCTACCCATCTCAATATCATAGCCTTAGCAAAGGTCAACAACAGCGTACAAAAACAAAACATCACACACAGTGATAGAAGGGTAGCCACCAAAATCTGAACCACTATAGCTCCTACTGGTCCTAATTGGTCTTGTAACCAGGTATTCGCAGACCATCCGCTCTTTCTGATGGACCAAATGAATCCCTAATTAGTTTCAAAGCATCTATGACACTAGTCATATTGTCAGTGGCATCAGGAATCAAAGTGTAACAGGCTTCTCCAGTTAGATTCAAAGCTACACAGAGGCCACCTTGTTTGGCCAAAATGTAATCAAGAGCCATGTCATGTTTCAGCAACGTCAATCGATGACTCCTCTGAGTATTTGACAAATATTCAAAACTTTTATGGTCTCGTTTGCAAAACCTTGCAGGGTATATGTAATATTATCAATATGATCAGCTAAGTATGTAACACCATACCATGGAAACAATCCTATTCCCCATTTCTCTCCCAAACTTATCCTCCAATGATAAGACTCCAAGTTGTGAAATTGTGCCAAATCTCTTTTCTTTCTACTGCAGAGATTGCGTAGAGTTATCCTCATCAGACCCTTGTCCCTTCTGAATAACAAAAACATCATACGGAAGTTTCAACTGTGCCATATAACAACATCCAATCCAACCATAAGTAAAATAAGTATGCCTTATCGCCACAAATCCACCAGATATCTTTAAATGTTCCTATGGTAAAATTACCCGGTAAAGTTTGATTCTTTACACTTAGAGTTTTACTCAGTCGGCGATGTGGTGCATGAAAGGTCACTGTATACATGTCATCAATAGCCCTTTGATCACGTCGTCCAAATTGCATCATATAGTTATCACATTCTGATATTCCCATAAATATACCATCTCCACCATGAGTACCATTTGAACAAAAACAAGATTTAACCTTCACAGGTGTCACTTCCATAGGATCAGGGACTGCTGTCGTAATATCTTCATACTGATCAAGGAGATTTATATATGACAATTTCTTCAACCAAGCACAATTCCGTTGAGGTGTAAATAGATGCACCGACACAGCCATCCAATAATCATTTAGTGCTTGTTGCTTAAATACCAACCACGATAGCGCATAATTTTGACATTTAGAAGTTAAAGGTTCTGTACCGTCTCTAGAATTGAAAGGCCATGTGCCTGGTGCTGGAACTCTCACGACACATGGACCACTCAAATTACTAGCCAATCTAACAGAGTGAGTCAACTGTTGGTACCACATATTTCTACTTGCCCACGGTCTGCAATTTGCAACACCGAGGAATCAAACCCATAAGCTTTCCATTGGGTTTCACGCTTCTCTAATGCATGAAGATGTTTAGTCATGCTTCTGATGTTCCCGTCATCTACAAATCACCAATCAGATTCGACATAGTCATCTGAATTGTTTCAGCTGCCTTAACTAATGTAGATGTAGCAACAGATGTCAACATCATACCTACAGACTCTGTAGACACCGAAGAACTCATCATTGTTCGTTGATAGTAGATCCATCTTTACAACTCCTTAAAATTACTAGGAGTACAGAAGTAGAAATTGTCATCAGCTGTGTAACATCCTTTTTTACCAAAGTCGCAGCTAGAGTA